CAGAAATGGGCTTCACACATTGTACCCATGTGGAGAATTGAACCCGGGTCTTCAGCGTGACAAGCGACCGCTTTAACCACAAGGCTACCCGACCACCCCTCCTTTACCAGAACTGCCCACTGACCTGAGCTCAGTGCCCCTTTAAGACTAGGTTTTGTCAAGTGATTGGAAATAAAAATGCAAAACTAGTACATGTCTGAGACTTTCATCACTTTGGGCTTTCCTCCATGGTAAACCTTACATGCCTGAAAAGCAGCATAAAACCCAACTCACTCACTCACTCACTCAGGGTGGCACGGGTGGCAGATGTGGTAAACGTCTGAGACCTGCATCACTTCGGGCTTTCCTCCCATATTAAGCTGACACAACGTGATATAACTGGAATGCTGTTAAAAGCGCATTAAACCCAACTCACTCACTCACTCACTCACTCACCAAGGCGGGAATACTCTCCTTTGATGTGGAAAACAATTCAGTCTAGAGTTACTTCCCTTGAGTGTTGACACCAGAGTTACTCACCTTGAGTGTTGACACTAGATCAGATTGGCCTGTACTCTTTGGCTCCAGACCTAGTGGGTGGACCACCAACCTGTTTTGCTCCTAATTACATTGATCAAGCCCTAGGTTTCTGGTATTGTCCTCAGGGTTACAGACCTAGTGGGTGGACCAGGAACCTGTTTTGCTCCTAATTCCATTGATCAAGCCCTAGGTTTCTGGTATTTTCCTCAGGGTTACAGACCTAGTGGGTGGACCAGGAACCTGTTTTGCTCCTAATTCCATTGATCAAGCCCTAGGTTTCTGGTATTGTCCTCAGGGTTACAGACCTAGTGGGTGGACCAGGAACCTGTTTTGCTCCTAATTTCATTGATCAAGCCCTAGGTTTCTGGTATTGTCCTCAGGGTTACAGACCTAGTGGGTGGACCAGGAACCTGTTTTGCTCCTAATTCCATTGATCAAGCCCTAGGTTTCTGGTATTGTCCTCAGGGTTACAGACCTAGTGGGTGGACCACCAACCTGTTTTGCTCCTAATTCCATTGATCAAGCCCTAGGTTTCTGGTATTGTCCTCAGGGTTACAGACCTAGTGGGTGGACCAGGAACCTGTTTTGCTCCTAATTCCATTGATCAAGCCCTAGGTTTCTGGTATTTTCCTCAGGGTTACAGACCTAGTGGGTGGACCACCAACCTGTTTTGCTCCTAATTTCATTGATCAAGCCCTAGGTTTCTGGTATTGTCCTCAGGGTTACAGACCTAGTGGGTGGACCAGGAACCTGTTTTGCTCCTAATTTCATTGATCAAGCCCTAGGTTTCTGGTATTGTCCTCAGGGTTACAGACCTAGTGGGTGGACCAGGAACCTGTTTTGCTCCTAATTTCATTGATCAAGCCCTAGGTTTCTGGTATTGTCCTCAGGGTTACAGACCTAGTGGGTGGACCAGGAACCTGTTTTGCTCCTAATTCCATTGATCAAGCCCTAGGTTTCTGGTATTGTCCTCAGGGTTACAGACCTAGTGGGTGGACCAGGAACCTGTTTTGCTCCTAATTCCATTGATCAAGCCCTAGGTTTCTGGTATTGTCCTCAGGGTTACAGACCTAGTGGGTGGACCAGGAACCTGTTTTGCTCCTAATTCCATTGATCAAGCCCTAGGTTTCTGGTATTGTCCTCAGGGTTACAGACCTAGTGGGTGGACCAGGAACCTGTTTTGCTCCTAATTCCATTGATCAAGCCCTAGGTTTCTGGTATTGTCCTCAGGGTTACAGACCTAGTGGGTGGACCAGGAACCTGTTTTGCTCCTAATTCCATTGATCAAGCCCTAGGTTTCTGGTATTGTTCTCAGGGTTACAGACCTAGTGGATGGACCACCAACCTGTTTTGCTCCTAATTCCATTGATCAAGCCCTAGGTTTCTGGTATTGTTCTCAGGGTTACAGCTTGGTCCCTCATTGCAGTCTTTGACAAAATGTCTTGAAGAATTTGAGAAATGTTGTAGTCATGAGAAATAAGTATGCGATCAACAATCATGCCCAAAGGCGGTGTTCCTTGCACAAGGTAGACACAATTTTATGGATAACAACTTCTTTAATACTGTTAAAAGTGACATTTCGGTATAGATCCTTATACCGTTGTCAAGCAAGACTGAATGATTGACTTAGTACAGAATATATATAGTAGGTGGAGGATAAACAGTAGAGGCTTAACAGTAACAACAATTGCATACATGAGTGGGATAACATAGGTAAGGTGTTGACAACAGAAGATAATGCTGTCACAACATGATGGACAGAGAACACATAGGTGGAAGCCAATGGGACAAGAAGCCAATTAAACAGGATAAGTGATTATTGCTTGATGAGTTCATAGTAGGCGGATGGGATGAAATAGCCTTGATCTTTGTTGATAGATGGCTTGTGGCGGCGAATGTGTTAGTTTTCTTTTAGTGACATTATGGAGGTTGTTGTAGAGGATTTGGACGTTGTCCCAGTTGATGTTCAGGACAGTTGTTGATATGGTCTGAGATGGCTGATTCACTGTCTGATATTCAGTCTTGCTTGACAACGCTATAAGGATCTATACCGAAACGTTGCTTTTTACATTATTAAAGAAGTTGTTATCCATGAAATTGAGTCTACCTTGTCATCCATCAACTTCTAAGTAATGCCTATCAAACAATTTTTCTTTGCACATATTGAGTGTGAGGTAATCACCCCAAAATTGCAAATAAACATTATTTCCCAGGTAAATTGTGGGACATGTGCCATTTTCTTTTGTGACAAACTTCTGGGATGTTAGAAATAAAATCATTTTTATGTCTAGTCTAGAGACAACAACATGACTGTCTTAAGACAACTAAACGACTGTCTTGAGACAACTACATGACTGTCTTGAGACAACTACACGACTGTCTTGTTATTATCACCTAATCATCGACCCACAAAAAGAATCTTTTCAGAATGTCAGAGAATTAATACCTTCTCTTTAGATTGAAAATGGCTGCTCCTGCAGAAAGAGCTGTGGAAGACGTGGATGTGATTAGAGGCGGAAGGTGGTGTGAATTAATCCTGTTATACTCCGGTGGAGATACAAGGGGTTAGAGGCTATTTTGAGGGAATAAACAAACTACATCACAGCTGCGTTCATGCAACACTGACAATCTGCGGAAGGGTTTGCAATATTTCCTAGTTGAGGGATTTCACACAGGATGTGCCTAGCTTTAAGTTCAGGGCCCTGGTGATCTGACACACATTTCATATTTTACGTTAATCATGTACATATTCACTCTTTGAACCCTGTCAATTAAAAAAAATATCATTAAAAGTTTCGTCATGTGAGACTTTCCTGGAAAGGATGTCAGCCTGTGAATTCTCTTCATGGGAGCACTTTCTCCCCTTTGAAGTGTGTCAGGAAATGTGTGAAATCCTAGATTTTGTTTTAGGGGTTGACCATGGTATGACTGATGATGCAGAGTTGCCTCCCTTAGGCGTGCCAGAATCCTATCATCATGGGTTCAAATTCTACCTGATGATTTTTTCAAGGTTTGTCCACGCCAACCCCCTGCATGTGGGTTTCAAATTGGTAAATTTATGTCCGAGACCTGCATCACTTCGGGTTTTCCTCCTTCACGAACTGACACGCTGGATTATAACTGCAGCATTTAACCCCAACTCAACATCATTGACGTACTCATTCAATAATAAGTTTTGGTTTAAGTGAAATAACAAGTTGCAGAAATGTGGAAGAATGTATTTCCCATCAGTTTGTCTCTCTGAAGACTCTAGTTTCAAATCTTTGTTTCTACTGATACAAAGCCTGAGTTAATCCCAAGCTAATCCCAGCAAAGCCACCCTTGGCACAGATACCTGGACAGATAGATTGTTGGGTCAATTATGTTAAGTTGAGACTTGCCTGCTGAGAATACTATATCAGGGTAGGATGAAGGGGCAAGATGAAGGAGAGGGGTTTAACATTGTTGTTGCCTTGTTGGAGACTGTATGACACTTTGTATGATGCTCTGTATGACTGGCTCAACGGCTCTATGTCTCTGTGGCTCAACGGCTCTATGTCTCTATGGCTCTATGGCTCTATGTCTCTGTGGCTCTATTGCTCAACGGCTCTATGGCTATGTGGCTCTATGTCTCTATGGCTCTATGTCTCTGGGGGCAATATGAAGGAGAGGGGTTTAACATTGTTGTTGCTTTGTGTTGGGGACTGTATGACACTTTGTATGATGCTCTGTATGACTGGCTCAACGGCTCTATGTCTCTGTGGCTCTATGTCTCTGTGGCTCTATGTCTCTGTGGCTCTATGGCTCTATGGCTATGTGGCTCTGTCTCTATGGCTCTATGTCTCTGTGGCTCTATGTCTCTGTGGCTCTGTCTCTGTGGCTCAACGGCTCTATGGCTCTGTCTCTGTAGCTCTATGTCTCTGTGGCCCTATGTCTCTGTGGCTCTATGTCTCTGTGGCTCTATGTCTCTGTGGCTCTATGTCTCTATGGCTCTATGTCTCTGTGGCTCAACGGCTCTATGTCTCTTTGTCTCTGTGGCTCAACGGCTCTATGGCTCTGTCTCTGTGGCTCTATGTCTCTGTGGCTCTATGTCTCTGTGGCTCTGTGGCTCTATGGCTCTGTGGCTCTATGTCTCTGTGGCTCTATGGCTCTGTAGCTCTATGTCTCTATGTCTCTGTGGCTCTATGTCTCTATGGCTCTATGTCTCTATGTCTCTGTGGCTCAACGGCTCTATGTCTCTTTGTCTCTGTGGCTCAACGGCTCTATGGCTCTGTCTCTGTGGCTCTATGTCTCTGTGGCTCTATGTCTCTGTGGCTCTGTGGCTCTATGGCTCTGTGGCTCTATGTCTCTGTGGCTCTATGGCTCTGTAGCTCTATGTCTCTGTGGCTCTATGTCTCTGTGGCTCTATGTCTCTGTGGCTCTATGTCTCTGTGGCTCTGTGGCTCTGTGGCTCTATGTCTCTGTGGCTCTATGGCTCTGTAGCTCTATGTCTCTGTGGCTCTATGGCTCTCTGTCTCTGTGGCTCTGTCTCTATGGCTCAACGGCTCTATGTCTCCGTGGCTCTATGTCTCTGTGGCTCCATCAGTCCATGGCTCTATGGCTCAACAGCTCTATGTCTCTATGGCTCTATGGCTCTGTGGCTCTATGTCTCTGTGACTCTGTCTCTGTGGCTCAATGGCTCTATGTCTATGTGGCTCTATGTCCCTGTGGCTCTGTGGCTCTGTGGCTCTGTCTCTATGGCTCAACGGCTCTATGGCTCTATGTCTCTGGCTCAACGCCTCTATGGCTCTGTGGCTCTATGGCTCAACGGCTCTGTGGCTCAACGGCTCTATGTCTCTATGGCTCTGTGGCTCTATGTCTCTGTGGCTCTATGTCCCTGTGGCTCTGTGCCTCTATGTCTCTGTGGCTCTGTGGCTCTATGGCTTTGTGGCTCTGTGGCTCTGTTGCTCTATGGCTCTGTTGCTCTATGGCTTTGTGGCTCTGTGGCTCTATGTCTATGTGGCTCTATGGCTCTGTTGCTCTATGGCTATGTAGCTCTATGTCTCTGTGGCTCTATGGCTCTATGTCTCTGTGGCTCTGTCTCTATGGCTCAACGGCTCTATGGCTCTATGTCTCTGTGGCTCAACGCCTCTATGGCTCTCTGGCTCTTTGGCTCAACAGCTCTGTGGCTCAATGGCTCTATGTCTCTATGGCTCTGTGGCTCTATGTCTCTGTGACTATGTCTCTTTGGCTCTATGGCTCTATGGCTCTATGTCTCTGTGGCTCTATGGCTCTGTGGCTCTATGGCTCTATGGCTCTATGGCTCTATGGCTCTGTGGCTCTATGGCTATGTACAGGTAGTCTGTGTTGAGTCGGAGGAACTGTGACACTGTCATATTTCCTGTGAGGGTTGATTGAGAAATTCTGACTTGACATAGAAGGAATTGTGCCATCTTTGTTGTGGACAATACATGATGTCAAAGAGGTATGTTTGTCCACAAAACATTGAGTCAAAAAAGCAAATTGTTTTGCTGTCACAAGTCAGTAAAATATGCTGGAGACTGCAACAATTGGACAATGCTGACTTCAGGAGGGTAGGGTGGGAGCAGACTTGTGTTGGGGGTGGGGACAGGCTTGTGTGGGGTTGGGGCAGACTTGTGTTGGGGTGGGAGCAGACGTGTGTTGGGGTTGGGGCAGACTTGTGTTGGTAGTGGTGGCAGACTTGTGTTGGGGAGGGGGCAGACTTGTGTTGGGGTGGGGGCAGGCTTGTGTTGGGGTGGGGGCAGACTTTTGTTGGGGTGGGGGCAGATTTGTGTTGGGGTGGGGGCAGGCTTGTGTTGGGGTGGGGGGAATCTTGTGTTGGGGTTGTGGCAGGCTTGTGTTGGTGGTGGAGGCAGTCTTGTGTTGGGGTGGGGGCAGGCTTGTGTGGGTGAGAATAAGTATGGCTTCAGTGATACAGCTGCTAGGGTTAACAGCAAGGTGAAGATTGATTTGAGTTGTTAGGGATAGTGATTAGTGAAAGACTTTACATCTAGTATCATATTCATCTAGAGTCTAAATGGGTGGGGATCTTCAGAACAGTTTTTGTTTGAGGGGTGGTGGGTTAAGCTGAGGGGTTTGGGGAGGGGGGGGGGGGGGGGGGGGGGGGGGGGAGTTTGAGGGGGGACATTTAAGTATGGGGGTTGGGGCTTAAGCTTGAGGAATAGGACCAGGGCTGGGGAGGAGGAAGGCTTAGCTTGTGGGGTATTATTAGGAGTGGAAGGTTTAAGTTGGGGGGTAAGTATGGGGGAGGTTTGAGTTGGGAGACTGGAGGGAGTGTCTTTATGAAGGTGATCAATCATTGTCGAGAGGCATCAGGATTTGTGTTACTTTGCACACATACCTGGGATTCGGGATTCACAGAGCCGGGGATGATGTTACACCTTCTGAATTTTTAATATATCATAACCATCTTCACCTTGTGAAAATCATTGGTGACTTATCTGCTTCTTAGTGCTGAACCAGTTTTGAATTGGGTGAACTCATCGTGTAGAACATACACTGTAATGAAAATGAACTTTCACTGTTATAAGCAGCTGAAACAGTTATATACTTTACACAACATCTTGTATAGATATACCGTATTCGACGTAATAAGCACCCAGGGTGCACTCAAAATTAGTAATAGGGGGCTCTTAATAGAATATTACTTTGGTGAAAAAAAATAGAGTTGAAAGATAAATTTCATGGTTTATGGAAACAGCCTGCAATGTTTATATACAACATATATATTTTCCCCGGAATGTAATTGCCCATAATTAAGGGTGCATGTAGCACACGAGTGCGTATTATACACGAATAAATAAGTCTTGTGTACATTGATCAATCAGAAGGGGTGCTAAATGAGATTGTTCACTAGCCAATATATTAGCAAATATCGCCGTGGGCGCTTATTGGAACTGGGTGCTTATTACGTCGAATACGGTAGCTGTGCTTGTAACAAACACTGCCTGGCCCCCCTGAACTGCCAAATGTGAACTTAAGAGAAAAGATGAAAACAAGGCCTAAAATTCTTTGACCTATTCCTATGAGTAACGTGTAGTTTTTCTCTAAAATACTTCTAAGTTTGTATATATGTGATACAATGGCTTGACTAAAATGAGTAAAAAAAGTGGTTAGAGATATTATTGGAAAGCTTCATGAAAACTGATACTATACGACAGTGCAGTCGTTTGGAGGAATATTTGCTTTGTGTCATGGACTTGTTCATACTTTGTTTTTCTCAAGAATGTCAGAAATGTTGCCATACATAAAAAAATAATGGACTTTAAAACTTAAAAACAAAAATGTAGTACTTGTTAGTCATTTAAGTGAGTGAGTGAGTTAGGTTCAACACCGCTTTTAGCAGTATTCCAGTTATGTCGCGGCGTGTCAGCTTAATGTGGGAGGAAAGCCCGAAGTGATGCAGACGTTTACCACTTCGGTGAAACCCATGAGCACGGGTATGGTGCTGACAAACCTAGAAACATAATCGGGGCAAACCGGGATTCGAGCCCACAATCATAGGTTTCTGGTGTGCCCAAGGGACGCAACTCTGCACAGCGAATTGCGGCGCCTTAGACGACTGGGCCACCGTGCCCCCTAGTCATTTGAACATTTCTAATAAATGTCAGGAGAAATTTGAAGCTTGCATCTTTTGAATAATCTCTTGAACCAGAATCCCAAGATCTAATGTGAAACTGTTAGTTCTTAATTTATAATAGTGCAACATGGTTTTTGTTTGATATCCTCCCAATCTTACACTATCCCACTCAATTTCCCTGACACCCTCCAAGCACCAAGACAAATGTGACACCCTGACCCCCTTATTCACCATCCATCCACCCTACCCCACTGTCTCCAAGACAAACGTGACACCCTGACCCCCTTATTCACCGTCCATCCACCTTACCCCACTGTCTCCAAGACAAATGTGACGCCCTGACCCCCTTATTCACCGTCCATCCACCTTACCCCACTGTCTCCAAGACAAATGTGACACCCTGACCCCCTTATTCACCGTCCATCCACCCTACCCCACTGTCTCCAAGACAAATGTGACACCCTGACCCCCTTATTAACCGTCCATCCACCTTATCCCGCTGTCTCCACGACAAATGTGACACCCTGACCCCCTTATTCACCGTCCCTCCACCTTGTCTCCAAGACAAATGTGCCACTCTGACCCCCTTATTCACCGTCCCTCCACCTTACCCCACTGTCTCCATGACAAATGTGACATCCTGACCCCCTTATTCACCATCCATCCACCTTACCCCACTGTCTCCATGACAAATGTGACGCCCCTGACCCCCTTATTCACCATCCATCCACCTTACCCCACTGTCTCCAAGACAGATGTGACGCCCCTGACCCCCTTATTCACCATCCATCCACCTTACCCCACTGTCTCCATGACAAATGTGACGCCCCTGACCCCCTTATTCACCATCCATCCACCTTACCCCACTGTCTCCAAGACAGATGTGACGCCCCTGACCCCCTTATTCACCATCCATCCACCTTACCCCACTGTCTCCAAGACAGATGTGACGCCCCTGACCCCCTTATTCACCATCCATCCACCTTACCCCACTGTCTCCAAGACAGATGTGACGCCCCTGACCCCCTTATTCACCATCCATCCACCTTACCCCACTGTCTCCAAGACAGATGTGACGCCCCTGACCCCCTTATTCACCATCCATCCACCTTACCCCACTGTCTCCATGACAAATGTGACGCCCCTGACCCCCTTATTCACCATCCATCCACCTTACCCCACTGTCTCCAAGACAGATGTGACGCCCCTGACCCCCTTATTCACCATCCATCCACCTTACCCCACTGTCTCCATGACAAATGTGACGCCCCTGACCCCCTTATTCACCATCCATCCACCTTACCCCACTGTCTCCAAGACAGATGTGACGCCCCTGACCTCCTTATTCACCGTCCATCCACCTTACCCCGCTGTCTCCATGACAAATGTGACACCCTGACCCCCTTATTCACCATCCATCCACCTTACCCCACTGTCTCCAAGACAGATGTGACGCCCCTGACCTCCTTATTCACCGTCCATCCACCTTACCCCGCTGTCTCCATGACAAATGTGACACCCTGACCCCCTTATTCACCATCCATCCACCTTACCCCACTGTCTCCAAGACAGATGTGACGCCCCGACCCCCTTATTCACCGTCCATCCACCCTACCCCACTGTCTCCAAGACAAATGTGACACCCTGACCCCCTTATTCACCGTCCCTCCACCCTACCCCACTGTCTCCATGACAAATGTGACGCCCCTGACCCCCTTATTCACCATCCATCCACCTTACCCCACTGTCTCCAAGACAGATGTGACGCCCCTGACCCCCTTATTCACCATCCATCCACCTTACCCCACTGTCTCCATGACAAATGTGACGCCCCTGACCCCCTTATTCACCATCCATCCACCTTACCCCACTGTCTCCAAGACAGATGTGACGCCCCTGACCCCCTTATTCACCATCCATCCACCTTACCCCACTGTCTCCATGACAAATGTGACGCCCCTGACCCCCTTATTCACCATCCATCCACCTTACCCCACTGTCTCCAAGACAGATGTGACGCCCCTGACCTCCTTATTCACCGTCCATCCACCTTACCCCGCTGTCTCCATGACAAATGTGACACCCTGACCCCCTTATTCACCATCCATCCACCTTACCCCACTGTCTCCAAGACAGATGTGACGCCCCTGACCTCCTTATTCACCGTCCATCCACCTTACCCCGCTGTCTCCATGACAAATGTGACACCCTGACCCCCTTATTCACCATCCATCCACCTTACCCCACTGTCTCCAAGACAGATGTGACGCCCCGACCCCCTTATTCACCGTCCATCCACCCTACCCCACTGTCTCCAAGACAAATGTGACGCCCTGACCCCCTTATTCACCGTCCATCCACCCTACCCCACTGTCTCCAAGACAAATGTGACACCCTGACCCCCTTATTAACCGTCCATCCACCTTATCCCGCTGTCTCCATGACAAATGTGACACCCTGACCCCCTTATTCACCATCCATCCACCTTACCCCACTGTCTCCATGACAAATGTGACGCCCCTGACCCCCTTATTCACCATCCATCCACCTTACCCCACTGTCTCCAAGACAGATGTGACGCCCCTGACCTCCTTATTCACCGTCCATCCACCTTACCCCGCTGTCTCCATGACAAATGTGACACCCTGACCCCCTTATTCACCATCCATCCACCTTACCCCACTGTCTCCAAGACAGATGTGACGCCCCGACCCCCTTATTCACCGTCCATCCACCCTTCCCCACTGTCTCCAAGACAAATGTGACACCCTGACCCCCTTATTAACCGTCCATCCACCTTATCCCGCTGTCTCCATGACAAATGTGACACCCTGACCCCCTTATTCACCGTCCCTCCACCCTACCCCACTCTCTCCAAGACAAATGTGACGCCCTGACCCCCTTATTCACCGTCCATCCACCCTACCCCACTGTCTCCAAGACAAATGTGACACCCTGACCCCCTTATTAACCGTCCATCCACCTTATCCCGCTGTCTCCATGACAAATGTGACACCCTGACCCCCTTATTCACCGTCCCTCCACCTTGTCCCACTGTCTCCAAGACAAATGTGCCACCCTGACCCCCTTATTCACCGTCCATCCACCTTGTCCCACTGTCTCCAAGACAAATGTGCCACCCTGACCCCCTTATTCACCGTCCCTCCACCTTACCCCACTGTCTCCATGACAAATGTGACGCCCCTGACCCCCTTATTCACCATCCATCCACCTTACCCCACTGTCTCCATGACAAATGTGACATCCTGACCCCCTTATTCACCGTCCATCCACCTTACCCCACTGCCTCCAAGACAAATGTGACGCCCTGACCCCCTTATTCACCGTCCATCCACCTTACCCCACTGTCTCCAAGACAAATGTGACGCCCTGACCCCCTTATTCACCGTCCATCCACCTTACCCCACTGCCTCCAAGACAAATGTGACGCCCTGACCCCCTTATTCACCGTCCATCCACCTTACCCCACTGTCTCCAAGACAGATGTGACGCCCCTGACCCCCTTATTCACCATCCATCCACCTTACCCCACTGTCTCCAAGACAGATGTGACATCCTGACCCCCTTATTCACCATCCATCCACCTTACCCCACTGTCTCCAAGACAGATGTGACGCCCTGACCCCCTTATTCACCATCCATCCACCTTACCCCACTGTCTCCAAGACAAATGTGACATCCTGACCCCCTTATTCACCATCCATCCACCTTACCCCACTGTCTCCAAGACAAATGTGACGCCCTGACCCCCTTATTCACCGTCCATCCACCTTACCCCACTGTCTCCAAGACAAATGTGACACCCTGACCCCCTTATTCACCGTCCATCCACCCTACCCCACTGTCTCCAAGACAAATGTGACACCCTGACCCCCTTATTCACCGTCCCTCCACCTTGTCTCCAAGACAAATGTGCCACTCTGACCCCCTTATTCACCGTCCCTCCACCTTACCCCACTGTCTCCACGACAAATGTGACACCCTGACCCCCTTATTAACCGTCCATCCACCTTATCCCGCTGTCTCCACGACAAATGTGACACCCTGACCCCCTTATTCACCGTCCCTCCACCTTGTCTCCAAGACAAATGTGACGCCCTGACCCACCTTGATCCAATGCACCCATCTCACGCTCCCTTAAAAAACCCCACCCACCCCAACCAACCCTATGAAGAACGCCATCTCACCACCTCCACCCATCTTCACACACCCAAAGACAAATGAACCCGATCACCCACCTTGCATGTATTTCTAAATAAAAAACAACAAAATAATGTTGACAAATCTAAAAGGAACGATGTTCTGCTTTGTTGTTTGTGAGGTTCACATTGCCTGCTATTGTGAAGATGACCCCCCCTCCTGGACAGATTCATCTCAGCTGGAGGGTGGTCGGGGTCGGGGAGGCTGGTGCCGTATTTAGGCTGCCACAACATGCAGCAGTTGCTGGCAGACTAATTATGACTGTGATGTATTCCTCATGTCAGAGGGTCACATTAGTTAGGTAACAGAGCGATAACAAGAGCTTCAGTGTTAAAGGGGGTCTGTGCTCTACAGTCTGGGACCATTCCAGGGACAGGGCCCTATTCCAAACACTTAACTCACATATTTAACATAGGCTTAACTGAGCTACAGATAAGCAGCGTATTTGCGTAAAATACCCCCCCCCCCCCCCCAAATATTCAAAACACAATTACTTTAAATCAACTTGCGTACAGAAACGCATGCATTAAATGAAAAACTCAAATGTGTAAAAACAGCATGCGTAAATACCCAATGAAGCTTTTGGAGCTGATTTCCGAAACACAATTATGAGCTAATTTACTTTCTGAGTCAAGCCTATATATTTAGAACAGTTACATACATCTAAAATATTATTTCATTTTATGGCAAGCATGGGTTGCAGAAGATGTGGTGCTAATTACACAGAGACAATGTCCCATTTGGCACAAGTTGAAAATTTATAAACCTTTATGAACAGTGACAAGGATTGACATTGAAGGATTATGTTTTATGGACATTTTTACCACTATATTTTTTCTTTTCAAAAGGTATTGAAGAGCAATTAAGAACTATGATTCAATAACTCTGATTTATTTTTAAGAACTTTGATTTAATAACTCTCATTTATTTTTAAGAACTGTGATTTAATACCTGATTTATTTTTAAGAACTGTGATTTAATAACTGATCTATTTTTAAGAACTATGATTTAATAACTCTCATTTATTTTTAAGAACTGCGATTTAATAACTCTGATTTATTTTTAAGAACTGTGATTCAATACCTGATTTATTTTTAAGAACTATGATTTAATAACTCTCATTTATTTTTAAGAACTGCGATTTAATAACTGATCTATTTTTAAGAACTATGATTTAATAACTCTCATTTCATTTTAAGAACTGCGATTTAATAACTCTGATTTATTTTTAAGAACTATGATTCAATACCTGATTTATCTTTAAGAACTGATTTGATAACTCTGATTTATTTTTAAGAACTGAGATTTAATAACTCTGATTTATTTTTAAGAACTATGATTTAATAACTCTGATTTATATTTAAGAACTGTTATTTAATAACTCTGATTTATTTTTAAGAACTATGATTCAATACCTGATTATTTTTAAGATCTATGATTTAATAACTCAGATTTATTTTCAAGAACTATGATTTTGATTGACATTAATGTTTCACATGAAAGAGCAATTGACACTTTAGAACTGTAATTTCTTAACATGACATTTTGGGATTAAAGAAATTGACATTTTAAAACTTGTTTTTGAAATTATTGACATTTTGGAATTATAGCAATTGACCATTTAGAACTACTTTACAATGATTGACATTTATGAATTATAAACAATAGACATTTTAAAACCTTGTTGCAATGATTGACATTTTGGAATTATGATTCCAGTATAACAACTGACAGTTTAATCATTTTTTTGCAATGATTGACATTTTGGAATAATAATTCAATTGACATTTTGAAATTATTTGCTGTGATTGACTTTTTGGAATTATTATTCCAATATAACAACTGACATTTTAGTACTTTTTTTGTAATGATTGACAATTTGGAATAATAATTCAAATGACATTTTGAAACTTGTTAGCAATGATTGACATTTTGGAATTATAATTCAATTGACATTTTGAAACTTGTTTGCAGTGATTGACATTTTGGAATTATCATATCTTTATAACAACTTACATTTTCAAACTTATATTTCTTTATAATTGACATTTCAGAACTTGACATCATTACAACTTCAACACCAACACATTTATTTCAAACAAGTTGTGCACTGGCACAGAATCCATGTTGCCAATGCTCAGTTCTCAGTGTTCATGGCTTACACACAAGTCAGCGCCCTCCATACACAGTTATGACAGTGAAGATCCGGGGTAGAATAGGTCTTCAGCAACCCATACTTGCCATAAAAGGCGACTATGCTTGTCGTAAAAGGCGACTAACGGGATCGGATGGTCAGGCTCGCTGACTTGGTTGATGCATGTCATTGATCCCAATTGCGTGGATCGATGCTCATGATATCAATCACTGGATTGTCTGATCCAGACTCGATTATTTACAGACCGCTGTCATGTACGTGGAATATTGCTGAGTGCGGCGTTAAACAACCAACCAACCAACCAACCATACACAGTTATGACAGTGAAGTATCAGTGAACTACATTTCAATTCTGAACAATCCTTGAACAATAAAAACATTTTTATTAAATGTTCAGAAGTGTTTGCTGCAGACAATATAATAAAACTGAGAGTTTCTTTGTTCAGTTATATTTTCCTGAGCATATTTTGTTCCCCCATTGATAACCATGTACTTTTTATGGCTACATGAAGGCAGGTATGACATTAGGAAGCTATAACTGTTGGCCAGATCTGATGCTAGCATCACCTTCACACCTGTGAATGAATAAGTTACTCTATGCCCCAAAGCAGTGTGATAATAGGCCGGGGTGAGACACCTCCCCTTTCTACCTGTCGGCGTACCTGGGAGATGGCGGTAACGAGGTGCCGGTACACTGGACTCCGATCCAGGC